GGTCTCCCTCTATATGCTGCCCTATCTCTCTACTAGAACATACTCTGATGGGACTTTCCAATCCTCTTTGCTCATAACCGGCTGAATTTTCATCAGAGCAACCTGAACCAGGCTTGCTTATAAACATTAGGCTGCCTACTTTAGCCTCATTGATCTGAGAGAAGTCCTGAATTAAGCTGAAAACATGCTGGGATTTCAATCCTGAACAACTAAGTCTTTGCTGAGTGAAAAGTTCTTGGTAATAATAATGTTTTTATATTTTTCTTAGATGTTTGTTGGTTCAGACGGTTCTTATCAAAGACGTGTTTGTTTCTGTTCATTAGCTGCAGCAGAACGAATGTTGAACCAGCCGACAAAATAATGACACTGAGACTTAGATGCTTTGTGTTTTATTTACAGGCTCGCTCTCAACTTACCAGAAGAAATCTGGTTGCTCGATCAGAGGTAAAAAGGACCATGTCTCCTCCACTGGTCCTCAACCTTTTAGTTTCTTAAACTGAATCTTTGCTGATAAGCAGTTCTTGGTAAAAATGTTATGATGTTTTTCTTTAAGGATATTGTTTTTAGTAGTTTGAATTTTTAGACACATTTGCTTCTCTTGATTGGCTGCTTGGCCAGAGGAAGCTTAGCTCCATGTTTTATATTACAGAGGAAGAATTTCTGCAACAAACAGCAAATATTTTTATATCGACCTGTATAGACTAGGACTTTTTGGAAAAGTGACACGCGCAGCTTTGCATTTAAAGGTCCTAAAAGATGGAAAGCAAGACATTTTTTATTTTTACACGACACCCCAGATCTTTTTGCTGGATGGATTTTCTCCCTCAAGTGAACAGAGATGGAGTCGTCTTTGTCATCCGTCTGGTTTACGATCAGTGTGTGAAATACCTCTCAATATTTGGGGGGGGTCCCCATCTCCCGATTGTTGCGCAATACTGATCTAAATTTTCTCAATATGCAGTAGGCCTATAAAATTACAATGTCAAAGTCAGCTTTAATGTCAATTCTTCAGATTCACCAGACATACAAGGACTGGAGAGGATGTTTCTCACTCACTAACAGTGAAACAGATAAAGTGCACAGGCACAACAGATAATTTAAACATTCAATTTCACAATAGAATATAAAATGTACAATAATATAAAATATACAATACTTATGCTAGTGCAAAAAGGCAGACTGTAATGGCAGCAGCAGAAAAGCTATTATTATTATTACCATGATGTAAGATATATCTGT